ACATTTAACTACACGATCCTTGATTGTGTTTCTTAGCCTTTTGTGTGACACCCCTGCTCTAGGCTAAACTCTCAAACTATTACTAATGTAGTCTTAAAATATGAAACAACACAGGAGATAGCGCTTACAAATTACAGAAAATACTCTGCTTAATAGCAAATTCAATACAGTTCAGACAAAATTGCCCCCATGGTGATTAATCTGTAGACAAACAAAATGAGACAGAAAGACACACACCAGGCTGTCAGGAGGTTATTCATTTATACAGAGTGGCCTACTGTTCCCTCTCACTCCCAACTTCATTCAAGTGTTCAGCTGGAAAAAACTGGTTCTCCCCAGTTCGCTGTTTATTGCTTGTAGCCGCGTCACTCTCAACGGCAACACTTCAGCATCTCACCACATGCCAAAACGTTCACCTTTGAAGAATGCTGTTCGCTTTGGATGTACCTATACACACCTGATTCACCCAGGCTATGGTGCGTGCACACACACATTCTCGTTTTGCTATCTTAGTGAGGACATCTAATTGACCATAACATAATTGGAGCCCTGACACTAAAACCAAATTTTCAGTTTAAAAATGCCTTCAAGCTCGTGAAGACAGGCACTTTTGTCCTCATAAGTGACTGTTGGTCCCCACAAGTATAGTAACGTTCCAATTTTTGGTCCCCACAAAGATGTCTAAACAGGCACACACACACACACAGATCACCTTTTTTGTGCAGCTACTTGAACATAAAATCTGAGTCACTTATTCTCCAAAAACACAGTTTGTTGTTCCACTTCTAAACGCATGAATATATGGAAACTCAAATAAAGTGTCCTATATTGCTAATCTCATATAATACTCCAGCATTTATTAGTATTTATCTTTTTAATGATTTTTCTTCAAGATGATCAGTGATATTTTCAGGTCAGAGCTTTTAATGTTGTGGCTAACCGGTATTGATGAAAGAATACATTTTCCCTTTTTTATTAAACGACCAATAGAATTACACTGAAACCATACTGAATTGGTGTCTAATGTCTTTTAAACGTAACCTTGTTAGGTCAAATCATCCACTCGGTTTTTGTTCTGGTATTCCTAAGTTTCCTGGAAGGCTAATTACTTTGTGGTGAGCCTGTTGAGGCTTGAAATTTTCCTCTTCCATGTAGTTCACCAGTCATCTGTTGTACACAAGCACTTAATTCTAATGATTATCTGATGTTTCCTGTTGCACCGGTAGTGGGAGAAAAATTTCCCTTAGGGGTAAGGCTTTGGAAAGGCAGTGATGAAGAAAGAAGGTTTCAGCTGATGAATGAGTCAACATACTTCTAATTCCTGTGTGAAAACTTAAAGTCTAGAAATTGAGGTTAAATTTGTTGGAGCATTAAAAAGAGCCCAAGAGCGTCTTATAACTAAAGTCTGATGTTGTCAATTCTAATGAAGATGCAGTCACTTTGGAAACATGAGAGAAAAGCTTCTTTTGTTTTAAACTTGATTCATTTGCATAAACACTGATAGGACATTTTTTTGAATTTTATATTGTCATTTTTGCAACATTACATGGTATTGCTACAATGGAAATACATTAATAAAGTAGTTGGAGCTGTGTCACCTCGAACACTATTTAAGTAGATTACGTACAGTGGCTGTAGACTAGATTTTACTGGAAGTTGCTTATATCTTTTTCTTTCCTCCTTCCTTGTTGGTGTGAAATGATTCTGAGAAGTTGTCTAATACAAGAGATTATCAGCTGAATCTGATACTGAAGCATGGATTACACACTCGTCTGTACTGTCCGTTGTTTGTTATTGCTAGAGCGTGTTGTATTATGTAGGAATGATGTGAGTCAGTTCTGAAGGAAGTAGAAGGCGGATTGAATTTCAAACCGGAAAAATTCCAAAGCTACTGGCTGTGTCAACACCAGGAATTTTAATTGTGAAAATAGCCTAAGGGAATAATGTGATCTTGTATAATAGAAACAGTATCAGGTCTGATACATCACCTAGACCTGCTATTAGAAGGTGGAGAAAGGAGACGAGTAATGATAGCTATGGGGCAAACCTCATCGTAATGTCATTAGCCGTAGTGTGCCAACAGAGATTTCTGGGTGATTGCAGTTCCACTGTGA